GTTCCAGCTGTGAGGCCGAGATCTACGTTGGGGCTATGGCTGCACAGGAGCTACGCTGGTTGACCTACCTGCTGACCGACTTGGGGGAGCGGCCTCATTCTCCTCCAGTTCTGTACGTCGACAACAAGGCCATGCTTGCCTTGTGTCACGAGCAGAGACTGGAGCACAGAACGAAGCACATTGCTCCTCGCTACTTTCTTGCTCGAGAGCTGCAGCAGCGTGGTCAGCTTCGCCTTTCCTACTTGGCCTCTCGGGCCAACAGTGCTGATGTCTTCACCAAGGCCCTCGGGTCTGGTGATCATCAGCGTTTTTGCACTGCTCTTGGGCTTCTGCCTGTTCTGCCTCACCTGCTTGTCTCTTGATCTTGCACTTGTTGTACACTGTTATCTATATTTATACCTGCATGTTTACTCTTGCTAGGTTGTGATCAGTATACTGCCTTGCTATTATAACTCTGCATGTGAACTGGCCTTGTGGCTGCTTGCTTGTGCTCAAAATGTGTGGTGATCTTGAGATCCACCCTGGGCTTTGCATTGCTTTGTTCTCTTGCCTGACTGGACTTGTGACCGTTTGTTGTGTTGGCTATCCCTCACTTTGCCTAGGGGGGTGTGTCAAAACATATTTGTATGTTCTTAGTTCTGCTAGGCTACAGTGAGGTGCTCACTATAGGGTACAACCCCAGTTAGGGTTTCATACTTGTATCTCCCTGTTGCTAGTCATTCACCATTCCTGCACAGTTCTCTCGACAATACGGTATGCCCTTCAAATAAATCCACCCGAGAGGGATTTAGTTCTTCACGAGACAGCTGCAATGAGACAAAACAAAATATTTTTAGGGCCTGTGATAAGATGCAGTGTTGAAACAGTGTTAAATTTAACTGCCACAAGTGCACAAGAGACAACCAAGTGCTACTTATAATATTGTACTTTTGTCTTTCTAGAAGTGCTACTTATAATATTATACTTTTGTCTTTCTAGAACCCCAAAAACATTTTGTCACGAACTCCAACCGCCAGAAATGTATCAAAACATCTCCCTTGTGGTAACAATATAAGAAAACGCGGTGTGCGTGATCGAAAGCAGGACACGTGGCGGTAATAAACGGAATCGCGCTTCCACCAAACCGCGCAAAACTCTCTGTGTTGTAGGCATGGGGTCTTCTGCTCTTATTCTCCCGTCTCTTCCTCGCATGATGCTCTCTGCCTCCGTTATTCCCCTCCGCGCTTCATCGAGCCCGTTTTCTCACGTTTCCCCCGTTGTCGTCTTTCATCCACATTTTTCAGTCCCCAGTCACCCGCTTCACGTTCCTCTGGGCCGTTCCTTACGTTCCATCCGCACACTTGGCGTGGCATGCGAAGCGCGAGGGGACGAGCGCAAAGGGCGAGGTCAGGTAGCTGAGGATGGGGCGAACGAGGGGACGAAGGCCTCCGCGTGGGACAACTCGGTGGTGACGGCGGTGTCGGGCGCCATGGCGCGGTCGTTCGGTGGGCCTCTCTGGTTCGCCGTGATGTTGTCGTCCATGTTGGTGTTTGGCGGCAGGTACGGCTACCTGCTGTACTCCAACGCCGATATCGCGGGCATCCCCATGCTCACACGCCCACTTGAGAGGCAGCGTGTGGAATAGCAAAGGACACTTTTATTTGTTCACCTTGTCCACGAGGGGCACTCAACCAAGGCCCAAATTATCAGGGTATTTTACCTTGTTTGCCCTGATGAGCAGCTGCTTTTTCAGTTACCCTTTCAGAATCCGTGTATGAGATTTTTTACCCTAGAGCAAAAAGGCTATGAAATATTTTACCCTAACACAAATTTAATTTACCCTTCCAGGTACCGAATCTTTCTTACTGAGGATTCGGACACAGGTATCGTGCAGACAAAAAGGCCCAGTGGCCCACAGTTTCAGTTGTCGCGCTGGTCCACAGGTGCAACATTGAAATTTCTGGTCGGCGGACCACCAATGCGTCCTATTCGTTGGTTGAGCAGATTTATTGCCAACGCACACAGAAGTGATGCCTAAGCACACCAGTCCCACTGCCATATCTGTCAAGTAGTGCGCCAGCACAGCTTCTTGCTGTCCCAAGCAACGGCTGGCAGTCGTTGTGGTGCTACAGTCGCAGCCATGCAATGCCCGCGCAGCGCGGGCATCACTCCGTTGGGGCCTGTTTGGGGTTCTTGCTACCCCAAAGGGACCCCTTCTTGTTCATCGTTCTCTTCCACCTCGCTGACGTCTCTCAAGCATGCCTGCTCCAGAGGCAGATCCCCCTGGTAGCACCAGAAACGGGTTATCCGTGCTTGGGGTTTTACCCCGCCTTAGCGACAACTACAGCGTCCCCATCACGCTGCCACAGCGTGACGCCTCGCCGGAATGTATGGTGGGAAAACGGTTTACCCGTTCGAGCCACCCAATTCACCGTCGACGTTCGAGCCACAACCGTCGCTGGTCCTAGTTCCTTGCGGTGTCGAAGGCTCGTCGAAGGGAACCGCGGCCACTCCGTCAACAGCTAGCACCACGCCCTTGAAACGTCAGTGCGTGGGTGCAACGTTCACACAGCAGACGCTTTGGGGCGCCCCTGCTCCCCGCAAGGCGACATCACCGCCCCGTCCTACCGCTAATGCCGAGCCGAAGCCTCCCACCGCCAGTGCCGAAGCCGAGTTCGACGTTGTTAAAATCAGATTCGACACCCAGTGGGCTGGTAAATTCTCATGGCTGCGCCTCAACCGTATGTCTAACGGTAGGCCCTCTTTGAAGTGTGCGGTTTGCGTTAAACACGGAGATCCTGGCGCACACACGGCCTTCGGGATCAGAGGAGAGGGAGGTCGTGACTTGCAGGTAGGGAGCATCCGCTCTCACTCCGCAAAGCGAAGCAAGCTACTCTAACAAGGTGGCAGACAAACGATGCTTCAACCAAGCACATCATACGGTGCCTCCACATCGCGCTCTTCGTCTGCAAGGCAGACGCTCCCATCGCGATGTTCGTACCGCTCTGCTGGTTTTTGGCTAAGGAGGCCGTACCGCGGATACGGCGCATATTAAACCAAGTGAGTTAGATGCGCTTGTTTGGTGTTGTTTTCCTGATTCATGTTTATGTTAAACACTTATTAGTTGCGCGTGTGTGCATGGCAGTTATGGATTCAAGGAATGTTTGAGAGCCCACTCAACATATCTCCAAGAGTCTCAGTGCCTTCACCTCCTGGAATCCCCGTGGATGGGAATTTCGCTCGATGAAAGCACAGATCGCATCCATGGGAAACATCTCATCATTTACGCCACATTCTTTAAAAACACCATGGTGGTTATCGAGTTTTTAACATTGATCACAGTCGACCGCGCTGACGCTGCTTCTCTCACCTCTGCAGTGGTGCAATACCTCACAGGGATCGGTATCGACCTCCAGAATATTTCTGGCATTTCAACCGACGGCGCAAGCGTAATGGTTGGGAAGAACAACGGCGTCGTGGCGAGGCTGCGAATGAGGATTCCGCACCTCGCGTCAATCCACTGTATCGCGCATAGGTGAGCGGTTGACGGGCAGTTTAATTGCCGTGACTTTCCTCCACATTGTTTACTAACTTGAATACCCCGCTGTATTTGTTCGTGCAGGGAGGCGCTCGCTGCCCGTGATGCCGCGGATGCAGTCCCGGAGTTACGCATGGTCGACGATGTGGTGTGTGCATTTGCCGAGCACATAGGACACAGGAGCGTGCATTACCAGAAGTTCCAGAACCTGCAGGAAGTATTCTGCCAGACGAACTTGGAGGCGCAGGGGATTCACGCTGTCCGCTGGCTGTCGCGGGGAGAGGCGGTGAATCGGCTGCTTGAGGTCCTCCCTGCAGCAGTCGTGGTGCTGAAGGAGTACAAGAAGGAGCTGTACGAGGTGGTCACCACGTTTAAGTTCCACTGGCTGCTACGGTTCCTTGCAGACGTGTTGTTGGAACTCAACAACCTCAACCAGTGCTTCCAGCAACGGCAGGTAAGGTTGTCGGTCTCATAGTATGCGCGTCGGGCATCTAGTATACATATTTAACGACTTGTCTTGCCCCCATGCAGATCGACGTCACCCTCGTGGCGCACATCGTGCAGCAGACAAAGCTGCGCCTGAAATTCCGCTATTTCGACAAGGACCCTGGAAGCCACTTTGGAGCCGGGGAAAAAATGCACCTGCCGGACTTTATCAAGAACCACCAGTCGCAAGACAAGAGGGAGATGAAGGCGGAAGGTGTTGACGCTGACGGCACTCCCGTCTCCTTTGTCTATACCCTGCACGAGCGGCCACTTCCAGATCAGGAGACGGGTGGAGACGTGATAGCGTGCTTCGAACTGTCGCTGAAGTTTGTTCGGGCTGTGGACGCCGAGCTCGAGTGGCGCATGCGCGACCTGCACCTGCTGGAAGGTTCGAAGCTGTTTCGCACAGCTTCTTACATTCCTGATGACGCTAAGCGCGTAGAGGCGTTCAAGAAGTGGCTGGGCCAACTTCACAAGCTGTACAGCCAGAAACTGCCTGGTGAGTTTGTCTGTTGACCGCGTTGCATGTGCATCAGTGTGTGCATATTCTCTATCTATCTGTGCCTCATGCTTTCACGCGAACGTGCTATGCACCTGATGTTATATTTTTGGACTTACGGTATGCCGCCCCTTCCTTCTCGTCTCTGCGAGCATAGCCCAAGTATACCCCCTGCCCCCATCATAACAGGCTTCAACTATCAGCGAGCGGGACAAGAACTGTGGATGTTCACATCCACAATGTTCTCCCTACATTGAGTTGAGTGACTCAACTACTGAGTGACGAGGGGCTGCCCGCCCGCTATAATCGTCTTAGCCAACTGCAGTAACCATCTTTGCCAGTATATTTGACTCAAATATGTCAATGAGTAAAATTGTTCTTCCACTGTTAAGCCACCTCCGTGTTTTCTACGGTATGAATTTGATTCAGAGCCCTAAGGTGGCTTGCCCGGGTGAGCTTGCCCTAGAAACTGGCGTCATGGTGCTCCCATGATCCTGATCATGGGTCCATGCGAGCCTTCTTGTGCCGTCCCCACTCGCCACCACTCCTGTGTCTCCCACTCCCTCCCTCCCCATCGCCATCACCATCGCCATCACCAGCCTCTTCCGCATCTCTAACTCGCCTCAACGCACCGCCGCGCTGCACCGCTCTGTGCTCCTCGCCATCATGTGACGCCCTGTGGTCGGCTCTACCAGCATCACCTCTACCAGCACCACTGCTGCCGCCACCACCACCACCAGACAGCCCTCGGCTGCTCGCCCCACCCCTGCTGCCACCGCTGCGCACTGCTGCTGCCTCCTCCGCGCCACGGTTCAGGTCCATGGCACTGCGCTCCGCCCCTCCATGCCCGTTCACATCCATGCCGCCCCGCCGCCCCCTGCCTTCTGCACGCCCACCATCCTCTGCATCCTCCCGGCCCCGCTCCTCCACACCCACCTCCCCTGCCTCCCCTATCTCCCCCGCCTCGCCCTCCTCGCCCTCCTCCCTCCCGCCCGCACCGCCTGCCCCGTCACGACCCGCCCCGTCACGACCCGCCCCGTCACGACCCGCCCCGTCACGACCCGCCCCTCCCTCCACAGACGCCACACGAGCCCTCACCTGCTGCCGCCTCTCCCCACTCCCATCCCTCACCCCACCCCACTGCTGCTGCGTCTCATTCCTGCCTCTCTCCCTCTCCCTCTCCCTCTCCCTCTCCCGCACCCCCCCCGTGCCTCGCGCCCCCACGTCCACGTCAGCCAGCATCGCCTCATACTCCATCTCCTCCTCCCCGCCCCACCTCCTCTTCCTCCTCCCCTCCGCCCCTTCGCCCTCATCCACCGCACTGCCCCGCCCCCCCTTGCCCGGCCCCCCTTGAGGCGGGCTGCCATGCTCCTCCACCTGCCCGCCTGACCACTCGCCTATCTCCCCATCCTCCTCCTCCACCCCCTCTTTGCTTCCCTCACTGCCCCTCCTGCCTTCTCCCCCTTCCCTTTCATGCACTGCTCCATCCCTGCCTCGCCTCTGTGACTCCTCACCATTTCCCCCATATTCTGAGACGCCCCCACTCTGCCGACCTCCCCTCTCCTCCACTGTGCCTGCCTCACCCGCCCTCCTCGCGCCATCCCCACTCGCTCCACCCTCACCTCCCACGCTACCGCCCGCCCTCCCATCCCTACCCTTCACCGCCTCCCGCTCCCTCCTGCGATCACTCTCCCGCTGGCCCCCTCTCTCCACGTCGCGCTCCCTCTCCCCGTCACTGTGCCGTCTCACCCCCGGCGCGCCCACAGCCCCGCCGCCACCACCGGCGCCCCGCGACTCACTCAAGGCGCCAGCGGACGCCCTCCCCTGCGAGGCCGCGCTGTTGCTGGTGGTGGCGGATGCCAGGGGGGGGTGCGAGGAAAGGGACGAGGCAGCCCCACGGGAGGTGGCGCGGGCGGCAGCAGCAGCGGAGGGCGCGATGGCGATGGCAGGGGAGGCGGCGTGGGTGGGGTTAGGGGCGAGGCGCACCTGCTCGTACAGCTCCAACAGCTGCACACTCACGTCTGATGCCACGGGGTGGAAGGGGGTGGGGTGGGGGTGGGGGGGAAGGGGAGGGGAGAAGAGGGAGGGTGTGCAGGGACACCGAAAGAACGAGAGAGTGAAAACAACACACAACGAATGAACAAGGTGCGGAGAAGGGGTTACGGCAGGCAGCATCACACGGCTGATGCGGAAAGGTGGCAGCGGCGGGTGGGCGAGGTGGCAGTGGGTGGGCGAGGTGGCATAAAACGCTTCACACGTTGAAAACTATATCGGCTTTGCACTGCACACTCCACCACATGCCCCGCACACTCCACCACATACCCCGCACACTCCACCACATGCCCCGCACACTCCACCACATGCCCCGCACACTCCACCACATGCCCCTCACACCCCACCACATGCCCCTCGCACTCCACCACATGCCCCTGGCAGCACGGCGTGCGTGCGTGCATGCGTGGAGGGCGGCGCACCGTGGAGCAGTTTGGGCGAGACGTTGAAGTCGGCCCACCAGGGCGAGTCGCTGTCGCCCGGCAGCTTGACGCGCAGGAACTTGGCGGCCAGGCTGATGGCGCCCGCTGCAAACTGCTCCGCTCGCACCTGCAGACACAGCGACGTGCGCAACCTGGGAGGGGGAGGGGGAGGGTGAGGGGGGTGGGGGGTTAGCAGGCAGGAAGAGGGAGGAAACGTTGGGGGTGGGAAAGCGGGAGATGGCAGGCAGCACGTGCAGATGGCAGGCAGCACATGCAGATGGCAGGCAGCACATGCAGATGGCAGGCAGCACATGAAGATGGCAGGCAGCACATGCAGATGGCAGGCAGCACATGCAGATGGCAGGCAGCACATGCAGATGGCAGGCAGCACATGCAGATGGCAGGCAGCACATGCAGATGGCAGGCAGCACGTGCAGATGGCAGGCAGCACATGCAGATGGCAGGCAGCACATGCAGATGGCAGGCAGCACATGCAGATGGCAGGCAGCACATGCAGATGGCAGGCAGCACATGCAGATGGCAGGCAGCACATGCAGATGGCAGGCAGCACATGCAGATGGCAGGCAGCACATGCAGATGGCAGGCAGCACATGCAGATGGCAGGCAGCACATGCAGATGGCAGGCAGCACATGCAGATGGCAGGCAGCACATGCAGATGGCAGGCACCTTCCCTGCCTTATTCCGCCTCCTCCCCTCCCCCATCTCCCCCCTCCCCCCTCCCCCCTCCCCCCTTCTCCCTCCCCCAATCCTGGCTGACCCGTCGTTGATGAAGTTCCAGGCGACCTGGGCGAGCGCCTGCTGGGCGACCTTGAAGCGCTTGATGGCGGCCACGAGGGGCTTGTAGGCATGGGCCACGTTCAGGTCGAACCCCAGCGTCGCCAGCACCAACCCCTCTCCCACCAGAATCAGCTCCTTCTGCTGCTCCTCCTGGTAAAGCCCTCACAGAGGGGTGGGGGGAATTGGAGGGAGGGAAGGTCCGCATGAATGAATGGGGAGGGGCAGCAGGTGGGGCAATCGCTACGGCTACGTGCATCTTGGCACCTTGTGGGGCAGCTTGGCACCTTGTGGGGCAGCTTGGCACCTTGTGGGGCAGCTTGGCACCTTGTGGGGCAGCTTGGCACCTTGTGGGGCAGCTTGGCACCTTGTGGGGCAGCTTGGCACCTTGTGGGGCAGCTTGGCACCTTGTGGGGGCAGCTTGGCACCTTGTGGGGCAGCTTGGCACCTTGTGGGGCAGCTTGGCACCTTGTGGGGCAGCTTGGCACCTTGTGGGGCAGCTTGGCACCTTGTGGGGCAGCTTGGCACCTTGTGGGGCAGCTTGGCACCTTGTGGGGCAGCTTGGCACCTTGTGGGGCAGCTTGGCACCTTGTGGGGCAGCTTGGCACCTTGTGGGGCAGCTTGGCACCTTGTGGGGCAGCTTGGCACCTTGTGGGGCAGCTTGGCACCTTGTGGGGCAGCTTGGCACCTTGTGGGGCAGCTTGGCACCTTGTGGGGCAGCTTGGCACCTTGTGGGGCAGCTTGGCACCTTGTGGGGCAGCTTGGCACCTTGTGGGGCAGCTTGGCACCTTGTGGGGCAGCTTGGCACCTTGTGGGGCAGCTTGGCACCTTGTGGGGCAGCTTGGCACCTTGTGGGGCAGCTTGGCACCTTGTGGGGCAGCTTGGCACCTTGTGGGGCAGCTTGGCACCTTGTGGGGCAGCTTGGCACCTTGTGGGGCAGCTTGGCACCTTGTGGGGCAGCTTGGCACCTTGTGGGGCAGCTTGGCACCTTGTGGGGCAGCTTGGCACCTTGTGGGGCAGCTTGGCACCTTGTGGGGCAGCTTGGCACCTTGTGGGGCAGCTTGGCACCTTGTGGGGCAGCTTGGCACCTTGTGGGGCAGCTTGGCACCTTGTGGGGCAGCTTGGCACCTTGTGGGGCAGCTTGGCACCTTGTGGGGCAGCTTGGCACCTTGTGGGGCAGCTTGGCACCTTGTGGGGCAGCTTGGCACCTTGTGGGGCAGCTTGGCACCTTGTGGGGCAGCTTGGCACCTTGTGGGGCAGCTTGGCACCTTGTGGGGCAGCTTGGCACCTTGTGGGGCAGCTTGGCACCTTGTGGGGCAGCTTGGCACCTTGTGGGGCAGCTTGGCACCTTGTGGGGCAGCTTGGCACCTTGTGGGGCAGCTTGGCACCTTGTGGGGCAGCTTGGCACCTTGTGGGGCAGCTTGGCACCTTGTGGGGCAGCTTGGCACCTTGTGGGGCAGCTTGGCACCTTGTGGGGCAGCTTGGCACCTTGTGGGGCAGCTTGGCACCTTGTGGGGCAGCTTGGCACCTTGTGGGGCAGCTTGGCACCTTGTGGGGCAGCTTGGCACCTTGTGGGGCAGCTTGGCACCTTGTGGGGCAGCTTGGCACCTTGTGGGGCAGCTTGGCACCTTGTGGGGCAGCTTGGCACCTTGTGGGGCAGCTTGGCACCTTGTGGGGCAGCTTGGCACCTTGTGGGGCAGCTTGGCAGCGGCGGCGGGGTCCTTCCTGGCCTGCGCATCGAGGCTCTTCTGCACCACCTCCCTCAGCGCGCGTGGCGTCTCCTCCACCTTGCCCGCCAGGAACATGCACATCGTCGCTATCGCCTAATGGGGGGCGGGGCACGGCCGTGGTGCAAAAGGGGGGAAAAGCGGGGGAAGGGGGGCACGGCGCACAGGGGGGGAAAGAGGGAGGAGGTGGGGGCATGGCGCAGAGGGGGGAAGGGGCGTGGGCACAGGCGTTAGTTTGGTGCAGGAGGCAGGCATGGTAGAAGCGTGAAGGCAATGCTGTGCACACCACACACACTCGTGAATGGCACACAACACAACACACACTCTCTTGAATGTTGAGCGCGCGCGCGCACACACACACACACACACACACACAAACACACACACACACACACACACACACACACACACTGCATGGCACACACTCGTGCATGGCACTCGTGAAGGCTGAGGCTCGCAGAAAGGGGAAAACATAGCAGAGAGGGCGACGCACATGGGTGGGAGGGCAAGGCACATGGGTGGGAGGGCAAGACAAGACAACACACATAGCGGTCGTTCTTGGCGTGCGACTGGCGCATGAAGAAGCGATGGCAGAAGACGATGGCCGTCGCTATCGTGATCTGCGGCCTGGTGTGGTGCCGCCCGGGGGAGGGGGGGAAGAGGGGGAAGGGGGTGTTGTGCGGGGTGAGGTGGGGGGTGGCGCTACATGATGCATGCCACATCGTGACGTGGCGCAGTGAAAGGCCCTGGCATGTTCTGATGGCGCACAGAGTGGCGGACCATTTGCCCAAATGCGAGCAGGACAGGCAAGTGCAACGGTTGAGGCGCGGGGGAAGGGCGTGAGGGGCGGGGGAAGGGCGTGAGGGGCGGGGGAAGGGCGTGAGGGGCGGGGGAAGGGCGTGAGGCGCGGGGGGAGGGCGTGAGGGGCGGGGGAAGGGCGTGCGGAGAGAGCGTACACGCGGAGGCGCATGCCGAGGTCCTGCAGGAAGGTGCAGTAGGAGCGGCGCAGATACGTCTCACGCCGCAGGTCAATGCCATCAGCACGCGAGGGCGAGTGCTTCTCGATGTGCTCGCGGCTGAAGTACCACTGCCCGCCCTCGCTGCTGCCCGCCCCCCCGCTACTGCCCGCCGCCGCCGCATCTGCAGGTGCGGCGTCCGTGCGCGCCATGGCCTTGGCGGCGCCGGGGCGGCCGAGCAGGCCGGCGACGAGGTAGGACGCCATGGTGGTGGTGGGAACGCATGCGATGATGCGCCGCCTTGCGCTTCACCACACCGCCACCTTGAGACCTTCGGGAGCGTCTGTCGCTGTGGGCTGGGAGGTGACAACAAGGAAAGCGAATGGAAGTGAATCGTACGAATGGATGAGATCGGGAGGGGTCATGGGGGAAGTGACGCGACGGGGAGGAAGGGGAAGGGCAGAGATCGGGTGGCACAGGACGGAATTTGAAGGATTTCAAATGGAAGAGGGCGAGGCGAGGCAGAGAGAGTGGGAATGGAAGACAGGGGGCGAGGGGGAAGGATGCGTGTGAAGTTGAGGGGCCTCGTGATGAGGGGTGCGCGTGCAGGGAGGGGAGATGGGAAGGCAGGGAGGGGAGATGGGAAGGCAGGGAGGGGAGATGCGAGGGTTGGGGGGGGAGATGCGAGGGTTGGGGGGGGAGATGCGAGGGTTGGGGGGGGAGATGCGAGGGTTGGGGCGGGAGATGCGAGGGTTGGGGGGGGGGGTGGATGGGCCGGCAGGGAAGGGAGATGGGAAGGCAGGGACGGAAGGGCGGTAGTGGAAGCGTGGGAGGGGAAGGGCATGAAGCGAAGGGCAGGAAGGGAGGGGGAGGAGGGGATGGAGGGGATGGAGGGGAGTGGAGTGGAGCGATAGCAGTGGGGCTACTCACCCCGTGCGGGAAGCCCAGGTTGCACTCGCACGGCACTATGCACTCGCGACCCCTGTGCCCCACCCCACTCGCACTCGCCGCTGTGGATTGGCTTTAAGGCCACGGCACGGGAGGGCGGCGAGGGGAACGGTGGGGGAGAGGAAGGAAGGGGAGGGAAGGGATGGGAAGTGCAGCGAAGGGTCGCAAAGGGGAGGGATTGGGGTAGAAGGGGAGGGCAGGGCCGGGGAGGCAAGGTAAAGGTCATCATGGCAAGTTGCCGCTGTGGGATGGGAGGTGACGACAAGGAAAGCGAGTGGCAGTGAACATAAAGAAATGAAGGGGTCGGCTCTTGGGGGGGAGTGACGGGAAGGGAAAGGAAGTGGGGCGAAGGGGGGAGAAGGGGCGTCGAATTGAAGGGGAAGGGAAGGCGGTGAGGATTGCCGGTGGGAATGGAAGGCAGGGCGCGCGGAGGAAGGGTGCGTGGGGGGGCGTGGCGAGGGGGAGACGGCGGGCGGGCCTCGCGACGCACGCCGCGGCCGATCGCGAGGTGCGTGCGTTAGCAGACGCGGCGGGTTGTGAGAGTGAGTGCTGCCGTGGAGATGGGCCGTGACACGCTATGGGCGCGGGCGCGCGGCGGTATGACACGGTGCGCGTCACGATCTCTCTTGCGCACAGCGCCGCTAGTGGGATCGCGAGTGTGTGAGAGCGTGCGGGGCGAATGTGAGGGCGCGAGAGAGGCGAGAGTGATCTGCTTGCCTTGGGCGTGTGCGAGAGCGTGGGCGTGGTGACGACTGCCGCGCACGCGACACCTTTTGCACGAGCGTTTGTCAGGGCAGGCCAGAGGAGGCTGAGCAGTGGGGTGGCGAGGCGAGGCCGAGAGCGGGCGAGGCGAGGCCGTGGGGGGCGAGTAGGGAGTGAGATGTGCTGGAGCACCGGGATTGAAAGCGGGCTGGCGCGGCTAGGCCAGCTGTGTGTTGGGCAAGAGTAACGAGTGACGGGGCGGGTACGGCGTTGGCAACCGGCGAGTAAGGGCGCGGGACCATTTTGCTTTTTGAAAACGTTCGTATAATGTACAGCGGACGGTGCTACTAACGTGTTTCGAACCGTTGCCGGACGACTATCAGACCGAAGCACGAAGGGACGACGTGCTGGCACTTTTTTATCGGTTTTATATTTTAACACTACTGTACATGCGTAACATATATAACGATATTTAACGATCTTCGCCACTTCCGCCAAATCACGTTCATTCAATTTTGGCGAAGCGTCTCGACTGCCGTAAAAGTTTTCCAACTTCGTGCGTTGACCACAAACAAGTACTGTTGAGTCGTCCGTTCAAAAAACGGACGACAAATGGACTGCAGTTTCGACCCGACAAAAGTGGGAAAAGTGCCACACCTTTGCGGTATGCATGCGACGTCGCATCCATGCTAACGAAACTTACGAGTCTTTGCGAATTTACCACCCCACGGCTCGAACGGTCGATGGTTCGAACCATGGAATGGCTAAATGGTGCCGCGCCCTAAACACTCTGACCTTTACTAGCACGAACCGACCCATATCGGGCTCAGCAAGCCGTGGAACATCCTCTAATCTGTCAAACGCGATAACAGCATGGTAATCATCAAGTCCAAGATTCTTAACTCAATATCACCAAACTCAGGGTAACCTTACTTACCGTATTTACCGTATTTACCCGGGTAATATACCCGGGGGACTAATCCTACACCGAAAAAAAACGGTGGGGCTATTAACTAGGTATAAATGCTGTTGGGAAAAGTAAAACGACTTATGCAATTCATAAGTTCGATAGCATAAAACTTTAGTAGTATCGTAGTATTTCTATGTATGCATATTACTGTATCAGGTGTCCCTTCGCGTGAGTTACAGGTAGTAGTGCGAACAGTCTCGCGACTGTTCGCATGACACAGGATTACACCTCTTCGTAGAGTCGACTCGATATCTAGCCCGTTTCATGAACAGGTACATCTCTGAATATGTACTTCCTAGACTATAAATCTCTTGTGTTTTCTTTATTATCAATTCGTGTTCTCACAATATACCAGCACTGGAATTTAAGTCTTCCGCTGCAATACTTTACAGAGACTAAACTCCAAATATCCTAAGGTTTTTTCTCACCCCAACATGGTACCGTATTACCCCGGATAGAAGCGCACCTGCGCTTATAATAAAACATTGATTTATAGGGGGGTGCGCTTATAAATGAGTCACGGGCATAAGCGCATGCGCTTATATAATGACAAATGTAGAAATATATTTTAAGCGCACCAAAATGTGCATCTTAGTTTTGCAATTCCAGTCGAATCGAAATGTTAGCGCGTAATAGATCAGAATCGCGCGATTGTCTGCCAGCGCAAGGGTGGGCGAGGACACGTCATTCCGTAGGGGAATGTGTCACCGGCCCACTGTTGCGAGCCACAGAATCCGGTCGCTCGCAGCGCAGGAGCACGGTCGAGCCCCCCCCCCCCCCCCCTCCCCCCCCACACGTTCGTGCTGTCAGTCAGCTTCAGCTTCGCGCCCGTTTCGGTTTTTCGCGAGGCGGAACAGAACGGGCGATTTTGTCGGCCGCTTCTCATGAGGGTTGTAGGGTAGACTCGCTGCAAAGCGGAAAATCGTTACGGAAATTAAAATACAATTATGCATGCGCTTATAATAAGTAAAGTTTTTACAGGGGGTGCGCTTCTAATTGAGGATCGGCCATAAGCGCATTGCTCCAGATATAAGCGCATGCGCTTTTAATAGGCCTGAGTTTATATCCGGGGTGATACGGTATGAGAGTAGGAGAGTTTAAGATCTCCTAGTTTTACAAATCCTCAGTCATCAAAGTCTTCATTAACTTACAATCATGACGGATAGCAACAACGGTAAACCCCACTTGCAAAGCGGAGGTGGTGGCTCACATCAGCCCACTGCACCACCACTACCTGGTTTTAACCCTGCTTCAACCGCTGCATCTGCTACTGGACCAGGAGGCGTTGGAGGATCGTCCTAGTCCTTCGCGTTTAACGCTGCAACAAGGGATGGTACCACTGCAGGTGATGGTGCAGCAGGCCTCGATCCTGTGATACAACAAGTGTTTCAAGCCATGTCAGCGTTCATGGCATCAGCTCAAGCACAACAAGCACCACAATTATCATCGTCAGTAAACATGGGAAAGGCACCAATGAGTGTTGATGGGACGTCATACATACGGCAACAACCAGTTTCTTACCGTGCTCCGCCTCGACAGCAGTCGCGGGTCACCCACGCGCTTGTGCCTAGCAGTGCACCTGCGCAACAACAACAATAGCAACAGCAACAGGATGGAGATGGACTCGGAGTGAGAGATGCAACCAATTATCAAGCGCAGATGTTGAACATCCTGAAGTTTCAGACTTCAAGACCCTTCGACGGAAAGGACTTCTTCGCCTGGAGTTTTGAGTTTGAACTCATGATGGAAGCAGCACAGATTTGGGAGTACTTCACCGGGGAGATACAGTATCCAGTCAACGGCACACCAGATGAACAGCGTGGTTTCACCTTTCAGTCGATGATGGCGTTCACCATACTCCTGCGTAACCTGTCACTTACTGAACAACAACGCATCAGATCATACAGAGAGTTTGCGAACTCAGCGGAGTTAGCATGGCAACATCTAAAGCGGCTTTATCAAGCAAGAGACTGTGTAACACAGAGCAGACTCATGTCGCAGTTGAACAACGTGCAAATGAAGGCAGGAGGGCATGTGGTGCAGTACATCAACAGGTGCAAAGAGCTACGTGACCAGTTTAATCGAAGTGGAGGAAGCTTCCCTGAGTCGATGTTTGTAACAGTTGTCATCGCCGGACTTGGACCTCAGTGGTGTAATACACGCTCTCTTCTTCGCACTCAAAGGAATGTCTCCGAAATGCTCCTCTGTACAGCAACAGCAAGATATGGATCTGTACGACAGCAAAGGAAACAAAAAGGTGAATCGGTTCGCTTTCATAGCACACAGTCAAGTGGAGCCGCTTAAGCAACAACGACAAAACCAATTTCAGCAGCAGCAGAAGCAGCGACAACAGCAGCCGAAGCAGCAGCAGCAGTACTACGTACCTTCGTTTTGTCACATCTGTAAGACTTCCGACCATTCTCATGATCACTGTCCTCAGCGTCAACAGTCTTCACCCCACCGCCCAGCTAGTGCTCCTCCACAGGTTGCACCCGCTACTGCATCAGCTGCACATAGTAAAAAACAGATCACGTCAGCATCAGCAAAAGGGAGAAACGTGTTTGCATATATGGCTCGCACAGACTCATGCATCACAGGCTCACCACCAAACTTTGCTCCAGATGAAGTCCCGGAGGAAGTTCCAAT